TTGTATATACACATATATGTACGCATGTGTGTGAAGGGGTAAGTATGTATATGTATAAGTGTGTGTGTGTGTGTGTATGTATGTATGTATAAATATTTCTGTGTATGCATGCATGCATGTATGTACGTATGAATATGTGTGTATATATAAGTATAAAAGTATAAGTATAATCTTTATTGTCATTGTACTTAAATACAACAAAATTGGTTTTATATATGTATGTATGTATGTGTGTATGTGTATGTGTATGTGTATGTATAATGTATATGCTTATGTGTGTATATGTATAATGTTTATGTATGTATGTGTGTGTATATGTGTTTGTGTATATGTGTGTGTATGTATGTACTTATGTATGTATAAATGTTTGTTTGTATGCATGTGTGGGTGTATATGTGTGTGTATGTATGTACTTATGTATGTATAAATGTTTGTTTGTATGCATGTGTGGGTGTATATGTGTGTGTATGTATGTATAATGTATAATGTGTATGTGTAAGTATGCATGTATATATATATGTGTGTGTGTGTATCTATATGTGTATATGTGTATGTATAATGTATATGTGTATGCATGTGTGAGTGTGTGTATATGTATGTATGTATGTATGTATAATGTATAAGTGTATGTATGCATGTGTGTGTGTGTGCATATATGTGTGTATGTATATGCATAATGTATATGTGTAGGTGTGTGTATGTTTTCTGTATGCACACTAACAGCTGCTGAGGTCTTTGGTGCTCTTTTATTCACTGCAAATTAATGTATCCTGCGCCACCAATTCCAGGAGCCCAATAGAGGAGAATATATTTACATTTATTCTGTTTGTTTTCTTCAGACTGTTTATTGGGTAGCTTAGCCTCAAGTTGTTTTTAATTAGTTGATAAGAGAAGCAATGACTCTAAACTACAGGAACATGTTATTGCAAAGTGTTTGAGTATTAATTGTTGCCGATTTCTCTGCCCCAAAGCTCTGCAGAGCCATGGGGGAAAGGGTTGGATTTATTAGTGTTTGCTCTGTTTTTATGAGTGCAATCTCGACATCAAAATATTAGTAAACAAAAGTATCTTTTGAATATGAATTTTCAGCCTTTTATTCACGGCATGAGAAATAGGCTTGGCTTATTATCTGCAGCATTAATTGCATTAAGATGCCTTGATTTGATATGCTGTCTGCCTTCATGCCTTTTATTCAACAAATTAGAGTTCTTTCTTACAACGATTGCATGCCACTGCCACCCCTTTCTCTGCTTTTCGCTAATCTTTTTTAGATTCTGCACCCAAGACCTTCTGCATCTAAATAGCTATGGCACTTAGACTTATATGCAGCTTCACAATGCATTACAGCCCTCCCTAAGCGGTTTACAGAGTCAGCCTGTTGCCCCCAACAATCTGGGTCCTTGTTTTACCCACCTCAGAAGGATGGGAGGCTGAGTCAACCTTGAGCCGGTCAGAATCGAACTGCTGGCAGTCAGCAGAGTCAGTCCGTAATGCCGCGTTCTAACCACTGTGCCCCCATGGGAGGGACGGAAGGAAGGAAGGAAGGAAGGAAGGAAGGAAGGACGGACGGACGGACGGACTAGCTATAGCACTTAGACTTATATGCAGCTTCACAATGCATTACAGCCCTCTCTAAGTGGTTTACAGAGTCAGCCTGTTGCCCCCAACAATCTGGGTCCTTGTTTTACCCACCTCAGAAGGATGGGAGGCTGAGTCAACCTTGAGCCGGTCAGAATCGAACTGCTGGCAGTCAGCAGAGTCAGTCCGTAATGCCGCGTTCTAACCACTGTGCCCCCATGGGAGAGACGGAAGGAAGGAAGGAAGGAAGAAAGGAAGGAAGGAAGGAAGGAAGAAAGAAAGAAAGAAAGAAAGAAAGAAAGAACTACCAATAGAACGTAGACTTACTGTATTTACTGCTGTACAGTGCTTTATAGCCCTCTCTAAGTGGTTTACAGAGTCAGCCTCTTGCCCCCAATAATCTGGGCTCTCATTTTACTGACCTCAGAAGGCTGGAAGGCTGAGTCAACCTTGAGCCGGTCAGAATCGAACTGCTGGCAGTCAGCAGAGTCAGTCCGTAATGCCGCGTTCTAACCACTGTGCCCCCATGGGAGAGACGGAAGGAAGGAAGGAAGGAAGAAAGGAAGGAAGGAAGGAAGGAAGAAAGAAAGAAAGAAAGAAAGAAAGAAAGAACTACCAATAGAACGTAGACTNGAAAATGAAAATGAAAATGAAATAAAAGATATATACAAGATATTTTTTTAAAAAAATTAAAAATATGACATATATGCTGCTTCATCTCACAGGCTTGAAACTGATCCAGTAAGAATAAAAAATCTCTGTTGGATCACTTGATATATTTAGACGTTCCACTTCAGATTTTCTTTTGTGTGCTAACGCCCCTGGCTAATTCCAGTATTCCAGAAGTGAGCAAAACATGTTGATGTTGCAATTCTCCAGCTTTCAAATACCGTTTTCTATAGAGCAGGGGCATCTAACCTAGGCCACTTTAAGACTTGTGAACTTCAGCTGGCTGGAGAATTCTAGGAGTTGGTCCATCTCTAATGTGGCCAAGGTTGGAAACCCCACTGCTCTCAAGGTTTTCCTACCTTGGATTAGACTGAGGCAGCCTTCCCAAGAATGGTCTAATCTTGAAATTGACTATCACGATTATGAAATGGTTTGAAATCAGACTATCTTTTTGATAAGGCCGGAACATTTCAATGAAGATGGAACTGGAGTGTTGAAGACCAATAGCATTGGGAATTCAAAACATTGCACTTGCTTCTGCTGCATCATAAGGGACACAGAATAAAGAGAGGGGTTTTTTTTATGAAAGAGTGTGTTCACTTTATTAGAATGACTAAAGTTGCGTATATGAGCTCTGCGGAAATGTCAAAACTCATTTCAAACAGAATAGAAACGGTCTTGTATTTAATTCTCGAACTGTTGAGTATATAATTAATTTCTTTGCTGAGTGAGGTGCCCGTTTGATCTCCCTTTTAAAAAGTAAATAAAAATTGTAACATGCTTATGTTTAACGGGCTTTCAACAGTTAGCCCTACTTTTAAGTAAAGTCATTAGCCCTATCCCAAGTAAAGTAATTTCTATCCATCTCCCTTCTGTTAAAATAGTCTATTTTCTAGTTTTGAGGCTTCTTTTTCTAGCTTTTGACATTTATCGTGCAATTACTTGTTATCTTCCCCTACCTTTCAACCTATTAGAAATTAATGGCAACAAAGTTAAGAAGAAACTAACAGCTCCAAATATAAACATGACTTTGGATCAGAGTGAAGAGTCTGTTTTATCCGGCTTAGAGGCAAGTGGAGATATTGACTTGGATGATATAGACACCCCTTCGGAGAACAGCAATAATGAGTTTGAGTGGGAAGGTAAGACTCTTTTTTTTAAGGGGAAAAAAAACCCCAGCGACAAAGTTTTATCCTTAGGTGTGTTCCCTCTCGGCTGCTGTCACTAAGCCTGCTCCTTTGTGTGCATGTTTCACATGCGTTGAAACTGGGGGTGCAGAGTCCACCACCCCACCAATGCTTGGCCTTTTTTTCTTTTACTGTGGGCAAGAGGTGGGTTGAGTTGTGTGTCATTGCAATAAGGTTTCTATCTCTTCTCTCTTTAATGCCGCTGTCTGCGTTTCCCTGGAAGGATAGTTTCCCTTAACACAGCCTTCTGTCCTCGGAAACAAACTACTAACTTGCTGAAGTAGTTTCCCCCGCCTCTGTGGTAAGGCTTGCACTACTGAAACCCCTGTTACAAAACCAGGAGGATGATTTAGTCCTCGCTAGTGACAAACCCCCCCCCCCCTTTAATATCAGGCATAGCTTTGATTGAAAGGTTTGTCTATTTGCATGACTGCTGGAAATCAGGGCAGTGACAATGATTTTGCACCCAACTTAACAATCAGTGGGGAAATGATAGTGGAAGGGACAACCATCCAGATTTGCCAACTTCTCAAAGAGTGTTCAGTACGCGTCTTCACCACCCTAAATACTCTGAATATGTTTCGAAAAAAGGCCTTGCTTCTGGAGTTCGGGCGTGTCAAACTTAAATGCTGATTACTCTATGTGGAGGAGCAACTCCGATGTAGAGAAAACTAATCAGAATGAGACTAGCATACATTGATTTTAAAAACCTGCAAGAGATTTCATGTTTTCAAAGAAGAGGGTAACTTGATACTCCCTTGTGTCCCGACTTTAAAATCATTCTGCTCAGTAACTGCTTAAGTCCTCGTTCATTTTTCATAAGTGAATGTTGACCCTTCAAAACACGAGCCTGTCACTCCGAAACACTTAACTGACCAACCCATCCGTGAGGCCTGGGGAATTCTGGGAGTTTGGAGTCCACAGATCTTAAAAGTTGCTGAAGCTGGGAAACCTAGGTCTGGTAATGTAACGCCGCTTCCAATCCTCTGTGTTTCCATGGTGGCCAGACGACCTTCCAAAGCAGAAAAGCACCGATGCTGCTCGGAAGGGCTCCCTGCTGGAATACACGGCATCGGAAGAGAAGGAGGAGGAACGGCGATGGCGAATGTACCAGATTGGTGACCAGGGTCACCGAGTAGATATGAAGGCCATTGAGCCCTACAAGAAAGTAATTAGTCACGGAGGTGAGTGCTGACTTATAATCCTTGGTTCACCACCACGCTGGCTCTCTGCAACCGCGGGAAGCCTTGAAGAAAAAGCATCATTGTGATTGCTGTTTTTTTCCTCCCCTCTCCCTAGGCTATTACGGGGATGGGCTAAATGCAATTATTGTCTTTGCGGTTTGCTTCATGCCAGAAAGTAATCAACCAAACTACCGATACTTAATGGATAATCTGTTTAAGTAAGTGATGGAGCAAATAGGTAACCCTGCTTTCATGTGGAGTTCGATTTGGCTCCATCTTACCTGGAAGGATGGCTGTTGGAGGAGCTGGGAGGGATGGCCCATCGTCCTTCTTACAGGAGATGCTAGAGATCAAGCCACGGTTCTTGGTGTGCAGAACATCACTGAGATCAGATTCCCCCATCTGAAGAGTTTTAAAAGATGAGTAAGGGATCAAATTGGGATCGGGAGCTTCTCTTGACNCCCCCGCTTTTCCTCCTGCCATGTTCAGGGATGTGTCTGCCATCCTGTGGACAAAGAAAAATGATGCAAAACATCATTTTTGGCCCAAGGGGGGAAAAAAAAGAGAAAACAGCACAGAACTAACCCCACTGCAAAGAAGTCAGGGTTCCACACAAGGAATTGTTCTAAATAAATCTCGCTTTCCAAATGTGACTTTCAGGTTGAATGCATGCACGAGCCTCAACAGACAAAAACCCACAAGGACCTTTCCCGTTCCCGCTACGACCACATCAAATTGAAGCAAAGGTCAGAGACCTCTTTTGAGTTATAGACAGGAGTTTTAGGTCATAAGAAGCAAAAGTCCTCCATGGAGCGGAGTAATGGAACCTCCAGCTGCAGGGGCAGTATACCTGATGTGCTGCTTTTTTGAACGACTGCAGGGAGATCTCTTGGGCGCTTTTTATGTTCCGTACGGGCGGCCTTAAAAAGACTCGACTGACCCGACAAATATGGGCTGTGCAAGTTTGATGTTGAAGCGCGCTGTGTGAATCAGGTCAGGGATTCCCAAGCAATGCGTGCAGACAGCCACTTATTCCGCAATTATAAACCATCATCTTCTGCAAAGATTGCATGGTCGCGCAATCTTTTTAAATTAACACCCTCCCTCCTTGCCCATTTGCAACCTGGCGCCCGCCGCTGCAGAAACCCTAATGGTTATATTTGCATAAGCCACGCCCACCGCCTTGTACACCACTCCCATTGCCCGGCTCAGGAGAGGAATCTTCGATGTAAACGCATGCGCAATTTACCCGCAAGGGATTAGCCGCTGGGAGGCGAGCACCGCTCGGCGCATGCGCTCTCGGCCACTCCCTACCGCGCCCTTCCAGCCGCCTCGCAGTGCGCAGACGCAAAATAGCGGCCCGCTCCGTTTCCTGAGGAAAGGCGGAGGGGGGGAGGGCTGCGTCCTGCTTCCTGTTTGCTCACGTGTCCTTCCGGGGCAGGGTCGCCACCTTCGGGAGGGGTCGTTCCGGCCGGCTGTGAGCTAGAGAGTCACCGCGCTGAGGTGAGGCCTTTCTTCAGGGCCGGTGAGGGATTATTATGGGAGGCGGGGGTCTCGGAGAGGAGAAAAGGGCGGGGAGGTGATCCTCCGCCCCTCCCTTGCTCCCCCCCCCCACGAACCTTGGCCAGCTAGATTTCTACCTGCAGGGAGCCTGTGCTGTTTTCTTTCTTGATAGGTGGGGCCCTGAGGGGGCGAAAAAAACTCTTATTTGTTCTTACAGCTGCTCGTAATTCGGCCTCAGGTCGTCGTCAAAAGCCCCCTCTCCCCGGTCGGTATCAGAGGAGGGCGGGGCCAGCCCTTTCGGGGGCGGGGCCGCGATTGGGGCCCTGATTGGTTGATTTGGGTCCCTCTGAATATGATTGGGCAGGGGCTTCTTGGAGTGACAGCATGGGCGGGGTTCCAACTTTGTTATGCTGGGGAATTCTGGGAGTTGAAGTCCACAAGTCTTAAAAGGAGCCAAGATTGGAGCCCTCTGCTCTATATAGCCTTACAGGCAGCCCTGGACTTAACGAAAGTTCATTTAGTGACCTTTTTACGTTGCGGCAGCACTGAAAAAACGGGACTTAGGACCGTTTTTCACACTTACGGCCGTCGCAGCATCCCTGTGGCCAGAATTTGGCTGGCTGACTCCTACAATAACTGCAGCCCTCCTGGGTGGAGTATTGAAATCTGCAGCTTGGCTTCCTGCTTCTCCCTTCTGATGGGAAGTGGGATTACTCAAGTTTTGCTTCCTCTGGGCCTTGAGTAGGCAGAAAACTCACTTTCAAAGGACGATGATTAATATCCTTTTAAAGCTGCCCTGTAGCCGTTGCTGGATACGCCCAAAACTGTGATTCTCTCTCCTANCCACTCCAGGGGAAGGATACTGCAAAATCCCCATTCCCTCCCCACTCCAGGGGAAGGATACTGCAAAATCTCCACTCCCTCCCCACTCCAGGGGGAAGGATACTGCAAAATCTCAGTTCCCTCCCCACTCCAGGGGAAGGATACTGCAAAATCTCCACTCCCTCCCCACTCCAGGGGAAGGATACTGCAAAATCTCCACTCCCTCCCCACTCCAGGGGGAAGGATACTGTAAAATCTCTGTTCCCTCCCAATCAGCTGGGACTCGGGAGGCAGAGAATAGATGGGAACGGGGCCAACCATAGGTGGTATTTTCTAGTTCTCCGAACAACTCAAAACTTCCGCTACCGGTTCTCCAGAACTCATCAGAAGCTGCTGAATACCACTTCTGGATCAAAAGCTTTGCATAGCTTTCCTTAACTATAGTTTATTGGTTGGGTTCACACGATGCTCTAATCATGTTTCTCATTCTTGGCAACTTTTAAGAAGCGTGGATTTGAACTCCCAGAATTCCCCTTGGTGGGGAAATTCTGGGAGTTGAGGTCCATACATATCATTTGGGGAATTCTGGGAGCTGAGGTCCACACACCTTCAAGTTGCTAAGAGTGAGCAATCCTGCGCTAAGCTATCAAAGGTAAAGAATGTTACATCCAAACTGAACAAACACAGTTCAATCTGTGGCCTGAAGCCAACCAGTTCAGGGTTCTCGCTCCTTTCCTGGATGGTTTCCCCCGTCTCCATCGTCCTTTCCTCCCGTGCATTTGTTCCCCTTTTCATTTGGATTGAGGGATAATTTTGGAAGTGAGGAGCGGTGGACAAACCTTGTAGAGAAGGAAACCACGCCACAGCCCAGAAACAGAATGGAAATGGATTTCCGCCTTTTTTTTCTCGTGACCCAAATGATTTTGCAGTGTCCTTCCCCTGTTTCTTCCCTCCACATTTCTAGAGTTTTGGGGCATCATCACCCTGCCCACCACAAAGGGACAATGGCTGCCAGATGTTAGAAAAAGTCAGAGGAAAGATAGCAATAGCAATAGCAGTTAGACTTATATACCGCTTCATAGAGCTTTCAGCCCCCTCTAAGCGGTTTACAGAGTCAGCATATTAACCCCAACAACAATCCGGGTCCTCATTTCACCCACCTCGGAAGGATGGAAGGCTGAGTCAACCTTGAGCAGGTGAGATTTGAACTGCTGAACTGCAGATAACAGTCAACTGAAGTGGCCTGCAGTACTGCGCCACCTCGGCTCTATGGGGAATAAATCCTCTCTGTGGGTCTGAAGGGCAATTATTTAAGTGTATCAAGTTCAGGGGAAGAAGCCCCCAATCCTGGATTCTGCTCCCTCTCACCACCAGCCGGGCGCAGAATTACCCTTCCATAATTAACCACATTATGAGCTGCAGCATTCGGCTTCTTTGCAACTCAACATCTTGTTAATGACGGGAACTTAGCATGCCAAGCGAACCCTGGAGACCCTGGGAACAGCCGGGAGTGGACCAATTAACCCCTCCCCCCCCACAAATATGAGGTTTCTAACAATACCCAGGTTGCACAGCTGCTTCTATGCTCATGCCCGGCTTCACCCCATCAAACAGGTGGAGCATCCCGTAGCTTGCCAAGTGGGTGAGAATTCCTGAAAAGCAATATTTTTCCCCCCCACATTAAAACTTCGTTTAGGGAAGCCGACAAGCTGGGCAGATCATTCCACTTTTCTTATCTTCCCCTTCATCTTCCAAAAATGAGAATAAAAAGGGGTTGCAACTCTCTCCCATGCCAATTGAGGGCAGCAAGGAAAACCTCGTTTCCTCTAGGGCAGTGTTTCTCAACCTTGGCCACTTGAAGATGTCTGGACTTCAAGTCCCAGAGTTCCCCAGCCAGCATTCGCTGGCTGGGGAATTCTGGGACTTGAAGTCCAGACATCTTCAAGTGGCCAAGGTTGAGAAACACTGCCCTAGTGGTTCATTTGGAGTACTGCAGGCCAGAAAGAGTCGTTTTAGCCCCACCCCCCCTGCCCGCTTCTATCCAGGTTCGTTCTCTGCATCCACCTCTTAAATCCTCCCCCCGCTTTTCCTCCTGCCATGTTCAGGGATGTGTCTGCCATCCTGTGGACAAAGAAAAATGATGCAAAACATCATTTTTGGCCCAAGGGGGGAAAAAAAAGAGAAAACAGCACAGAACTAACCCCACTGCAAAGAAGTCAGGGTTCCACACAAGGAATTGTTCTAAATAAATCTCGCTTTCCAAATGTGACTTTCAGGTTGAATGCATGCACGAGCCTCAACAGACAAAAACCCACAAGGACCTTTCCCGTTCCCGCTACGACCACATCAAATTGAAGCAAAGGTCAGAGACCTCTTTTGAGTTATAGACAGGAGTTTTAGGTCATAAGAAGCAAAAGTCCTCCATGGAGCGGAGTAATGGAACCTCCAGCTGCAGGGGCAGTATACCTGATGTGCTGCTTTTTTGAACGACTGCAGGGAGATCTCTTGGGCGCTTTTTATGTTCCGTACGGGCGGCCTTAAAAAGACTCGACTGACCCGACAAATATGGGCTGTGCAAGTTTGATGTTGAAGCGCGCTGTGTGAATCAGGTCAGGGATTCCCAAGCAATGCGTGCAGACAGCCACTTATTCCGCAATTATAAACCATCATCTTCTGCAAAGATTGCATGGTCGCGCAATCTTTTTAAATTAACACCCTCCCTCCTTGCCCATTTGCAACCTGGCGCCCGCCGCTGCAGAAACCCTAATGGTTATATTTGCATAAGCCACGCCCACCGCCTTGTACACCACTCCCATTGCCCGGCTCAGGAGAGGAATCTTCGATGTAAACGCATGCGCAATTTACCCGCAAGGGATTAGCCGCTGGGAGGCGAGCACCGCTCGGCGCATGCGCTCTCGGCCACTCCCTACCGCGCCCTTCCAGCCGCCTCGCAGTGCGCAGACGCAAAATAGCGGCCCGCTCCGTTTCCTGAGGAAAGGCGGAGGGGGGGAGGGCTGCGTCCTGCTTCCTGTTTGCTCACGTGTCCTTCCGGGGCAGGGTCGCCACCTTCGGGAGGGGTCGTTCCGGCCGGCTGTGAGCTAGAGAGTCACCGCGCTGAGGTGAGGCCTTTCTTCAGGGCCGGTGAGGGATTATTATGGGAGGCGGGGGTCTCGGAGAGGAGAAAAGGGCGGGGAGGTGATCCTCCGCCTCTCCCTTGCTCCCCCCCCCCCACGAACCTTGGCCAGCTAGATTTCTACCTGCAGGGAGCCTGTGCTGTTTTCTTTCTTGATAGGTGGGGCCCTGAGGGGGCGAAAAAACCCCTTATTTGTTCTTACAGCTACTCGTAATTCGGCCTCAGGTCGTCGTCAAAAGCCCCCTCTCCCCGGTCGGTATCAGAGGAGGGCGGGGCCAGCCCTTTCGGGGGCGGGGCCGCGATTGGGGCCCTGATTGGTTCATTTGGGTCCCTCTGAATATGATTGGGCAGGGGCTTCTTGGAGTGACAGCATGGGCGGGGTTCCAACTTTGTTATGCTGGGGAATTCTGGGAGTTGAAGTCCACAAGTCTTAAAAGGAGCCAAGATTGGAGCCCTCTGCTCTATATAGCCTTACAGGCAGCCCTGGACTTAACGAAAGTTCATTTAGTGACCTTTTTACGTTGCGGCAGCACTGAAAAAACGGGACTTAGGACCGTTTTTCACACTTACGGCCGTCGCAGCATCCCCGTGGCCAGAATTTGGCTGGCTGACTCCTACAATAACTGCAGCCCTCCTGGGTGGAGTATTGAAATCTGCAGCTTGGCTTCCTGCTTCTCCCTTCTGATGGGAAGTGGGATTACTCAA